AAAAAAAAAAAAAGAAAGAAAAAAAGACTTCGTTTAAGAATTTGATTTTGGGGAAGTTTGTCAAAAATATCAAAAGCTTTTGGGGCACCTGGGTGGCTCAGTTGGTTAGGTGTCCAACTCCTGATTTAGATTCAGGTCAGGATCTCAGGGTCCTGGGATCAAGCCCTGCATCGGGCTCCGTGCTCAGCAGGGAGTCTGTTTCTCTCTTTGCCCCTCCCCCTGCTCGTGCTCTCTCTCTCAAATAAATAAATAAAACCTTAAAAAAAAAATCAAAGGTAAAGAAAACCTGGTGGGCCTGGCTGGCTCAGTCAGAAGAGCATGTGACTCTTGATCTTGGGGTTGTGAGTTCAAGCCCCACACTGGGTGTAGAAATTACTTAAATAAATAAACTTTAAAAAAAAATAAAGAAAATGTGTCCTTTCATCAGATGAAAGAAAAAATTAAGGTTTAGTTTCACATAAGTATGCTATTGATGTTAAAGCTTTTTTTAACCTTTAAATTCATTTAGCCTGACCAGACTAAAATTCCTTTCCCAAGATTCCTTTCCACAAAACTTATGCAACTTTGTTTCTTACATTCATATTTGTCCTGTGTTTTTCCTCTTTAGACAACCAGCCTCAGATTGGGACAAAATTATTTTCTTTTCCCTCAACACAAAAACATGCCTCCATTTCTCATACCTTCTCTTACCGAAAACACACCTTTTACTTTCTTTGTATGTGGAATATTTTTATTATTTCTACTAGCTTACATATTAGAATTTTTAACCTTTAAAAGAAAAAGAAGCAAACCAAAGAAAAAGAAGCAAACGATTGTGAAATATTGCTCTAGCATTCTATAAATTGGCCACTTAATGAATACATTTAGATTCTAGACTAAATCAGTGGTGCCTGGGTAGTTCAATCAACTGAGTGTCCAACTCTTGGTTTTGGCTCCAGTCATGATCTCAGGGTGGTGGGATCGAGCCAGGCTCCATAATCAGTGTGGAGTCGGCTGGAGATTCTCTCTCTTTCTCTCCCTCTGCCCCTCCCCCAGCTCGGGCACTTGCACACGCTCTCTCCCTCTAAAAATAAATAAAATCTTAAAAAAAAAAATTCAATTACATAATTTCCCAGACACAGGGGAGACCCTCTCAAGGCCCAGAAGCTAAGGAAGTGTCTGGGAAGATGCTGGTGCTCCTAAAAGCCTGCCAAGATGGCGGAAGGACCCAGATGAGAGGCAGCAGGGCCTGGACAAAGTTGCGGGGTTCCAACCGGTGACCTTCCATGGAGTTCTTCCCACTGGTAGTGGGGGCTTAGAGAGGTGAGGGGTGGGGGATGTGGTTCAGCCTTTCAGCAAGAGGTCTGGTGCTCCACCAAGGCCAAAGCCCACGCCATTGGTCAGCTGGGACCTCCTGCCACCCTCTCACCCATGGCAAACCCCAGTTCATGGCTGACCCCAGGACGTTTTTAATGCTTATTGTATTATATTTCAGACATTAAAAAAAGACCATGGATTTCAGGTCACCCAACACGCTGCCTCTGGTCATCTTTGCTCATATGATGAATTTTAAAAATGGTGTTGAGCAAGCCTAACCATTGTAGTGGTTGAATCTGGAGGATGTCTGCCTCTGGGTTTTTAGGAATCATCTTTGGAAGGGATGGGGAATCCATGGACGGGAGCTGGGGAGGAACAGGCAGGCGGGACAGGCTCCTGTCCCTTAGCCCCCACCCCTCAGGCACACAACAGGTAAAGCCAATAAGCTGAATGGACCCAAAGGACAGAGTCAGAAAGACTATACAAGGCTTCAAGTGCAGAAAAAAGAGACACGGAGGACAGTAGAGCGAGAAGAAAGAAATGTCTCTTTGTGATTATGTGAAGAAATAATCACACACAAAAATGGCTTAAACCGTTGGACTAAAAGGTTAGAAATAAGAGTTACAAGGTAAGGATGAAAACTCTAATAAGACATTTGGAACATTGGAAAACGTTCTCAAACCAGAGCCAGTGAAAAGTAGACCAGAGAAATGGACAAGAGGTGTAAATGATGAAAACGAGAAAAAAAAGAAAACTAACATAATTACGTAGAACAAACCATTCTTGGTCTGCGCAATTCCAGGATAAAATAAAAGAGACCAGAACACAAATTATTTCAAAGATAGAGGGCTACAAGCGAAAAAGGCAAAGCTGCACCTGTTCAAAGGACAGAAAGCCCCACGGGGCAGCCCCCACGCTGTTTGGGAGGCTATTCCAGATGACTTCCCTGCCATCTCCCAGCCCCTGACTCTCCTCCCTGCTCCAGCCTGGCTGATTCTCTACCTGGGGCAGAGCGAGAAGGGCCCTGGCAGTGCCTAGATCCCCCGGGGTCTCTGCAGGTGCCCCTGGTCCGCAGGGGAGCCAGGCCCAGCCCCAGCAAGTTCAGTGAACCTGGTGCCCCATTCACCAGCTGGGTGACCTTGGGTGCGTGTCTGGCCTCAGGTCCTCATTGGAAAACTTTTTGACCTTGCAGTCTTTCCCTGGGGTGCCCCCACGAGAACTAGAGGAAGGGCCACTGTGGCTTCTACCACCCTTGGGGGCTTTGGGCTAGTAGAGACATGTGTTGAATGCTGTGCACACACCACCTGCTTCTCACCATGTCCTTTCTGCCTTTCCGTCTTATTTTTCCATTTGCCTTTTCATTTCAACAGAGTCAAAGGAGGTCTTTCCAAGAAGGATGCGCAAGAGAAGAGGGAAGAAGTTTCTCTCCAGCAGCTGGGCGCTTCTCCCCTCAAAGAAATCATCTAAGCTGCCACAAGCCTGGTGCTTGCTGGCAGCCCCTCATCTGGTCTCCAGACACCCCTGGGGCTTTTCCTGACACTGATGGGGGTGAGGTTGGCCAAGGGCCATGGTGGCTCTGGGGGTCCAGGCCAAAGAGCTGCTCACAAGCCAGGGCTGTGGTTGCTGGAAGGAAACTGGCCACCAGCAGCCAAATGGCATCACAAACATGGAGAAAGTCAAGAGGAACCAGGGACCCTCCATGTCCAGGGACCAAAGGAGGAGCTGTTTTCCTTCCCCATCCCCATACCTGTCCCCTTAAAACCTCTGTTCATTCTTGTTCTACCTCCAAACATTGTGTCTTTGCAAGGTTAAAGTGGCTGACGTTTGTGCCCCTTGGTTGTCCCTGGGACAGCCCCACCCAGCTTGTCCTTGAGAACTCATTCTGCTCCACACCTTCGGCATTTACTCTGTCTTGCCGTATATACAATTAAAGCTCTCTTCCCCTGGTTGGGTCTGACTCACCTTCTCAACTAGCAAATGTGGCATTTGCACATGGCACGTGCTTAGGGAGTAGTTGGTGAATATGTGATGAGCCAGACTCAGGCACTGGACAGAGACCTCTACCCCTCACTGGCATTCCTGGCAATAGCACCTTGCAGAAACGGGATGTGGCGTGGTTCTCCAAACGTCTCACAGAGAGACGAATTCCTGGTATCCCTCTGACCTCAGATCCATTTCCAGTCCAGATGTTGGACAGATGCCTGCACCCCTGGCCTTGCCCTTCAGTGTAATTCAGATTGGATCCATGAGGGATTCAAATCCTGGCTCTCTGAGTAGTCTTGAGCACATTTTCCTGTCTGATCCCTTCCTCCTGGAATTGCCAGAGAATCCATGAGATCAGGGCTCCACCCCTAAAGCTCAAGAAAAAAGCGCAATCTGGGGAAAAAGTAAAAATATCACAGTTTGGGCAGGAACCACTGCAACATGTCCTTTTGCCAACGTCATCTTTCCGCAGCTTACCGCTTGGAACAGAGCTTGAATGCGAATCCTCCAAAAAGCTGTCCCAAGGCATGAGCCTCAATGCACTAAATCCTCAGTCCCTCCCATAGATTTAATCGCTCATTCGGCGATCCTTTGTGTGTTTCCTTTCTTGTTTGAGTTGTTCTCAACCCACAGCCCTCAGCAGATCAGTAAATTTGAAAGGCGTCCTTTAAGATTCACCTTGGGAGTCACCTCCTCCAGGCAGCAGCATTCCCTGACCTTCCCTGCGTGCCTCTGGGCTCTCGTGAGTCCCTCCTCACATTCTCCCTGCTGTGCTGTGATGGGTTCATTACAGGCTGATCTATCATAGTGGCTCCTTGAAGACAGGTAGGTCATCTTTGTGTGTATCTACCACGGTCCACCTCACAGTAGGTACTCAGTTCGTGCTGCTGGAGTGGATGAAATAGTCATGAGGATTAAAAAACAAAACAAAACAAAAACACGTGACCTGTCACTGCTGAACTCTGAGGGAGGAGGCAGAAAAACAAGATTTTGTACATGTTTTATTAAAAAAACAGAATTTGGGGGCACCTAGGTGGCTCAGTCGGTTAAGTGTCTGTCTTGGGCTCGGGTCGGGATCCCAGGGTCCTGGGCTCAAGTCCTGCATTGGGCTCCCTGCTCCGCGGGGAGCCTGCTTCTCCCTCTCCCACTGTCTCTCCCCCTGCTCGTGCTCTCTCTCTCTCTCTCTCTCTCTGACAAATAAAGAAAATCCTTAAAAAAAATAAACTTTTGAGAGAATACAACATGCCAGGGAGATTACTGAGGTTATTATAAACAATGTCTGGACCACACTTCAGAGCCATGGTCCCCAGGATCCAAAACAATCGAAATCAAATGAGTCAAAGACCCCTTTGAAGGAGTCACCTTTTTAAGCCAAGCCACTCGCTCAATGTAATTATCTAATTGTACGTAATTATGTACAATTGAGTTTATGTAATTGGGTTTCAACTTCCCCAGAAGTGTTAATCCAGGCGTAGCAGGTGGTGGTGGCCACAACACAGCTTGCTCAACTAAAAGATAGTAAAGGGTTATCCTGTTATCAGGAACAACTTGGGCCAGAGAATCTAAGGATTTTTTGTTGGGCAGCTATTGTTTTTTGTTTTTTGTTTTGTTTTTTTTTTAAAGATTTTATTTATTTATTTGAGAGAGAGAGAACACATGAGAGGGGCGAGGGTCAGAGGGAGAAGCAGACTCCCTGCCGAGCAGGGAGCCCGATGCGGGACTCGATCCCGGGACTCCAGGATCATGACCTGAGCCGAAGGCAGTCGCTTAACCAACTGAGCCACCCAGGCGCCCTATTGTTTTTTTAGCAGCGAATTCTGCAGTATTTTCAAGAGTTAAGAAGACGTTCCTGATTATAGCCTCATTTACATTTACTCCCCAACCAGGGAAGTAGGGCCCTGCCAAGGGAAGCGTAAATGAATCATAAAGGCCTCCTGGTCATTCCTGCTTGATTCTGGACTGGAAAGATAACATCCATGAGGCCAGTAAATATTGCAAGGGCTATAGACCACACAGGGAGTTTTATTCTGATTGCCTTTGCCTTGTGTCCCTTTCTTTGCATACAGCCTTGGCACAGAGTCCCCCAAGTTTGGCACTGTTAACCAGCAACAGCAAAATGGACCAGAGGGTGTCTGGCATCATGGATAGGTCAGAGTTTTTGATGACAAATCCAGCAGTCTGAAAGATTATCCCCTTAGTAATGGCCTGGGAGATACAGATGATGATATTATCTTTCCAGGCCAATGCCAGAGCAAATGAAAGAAAAGAAGAAAGGATTTCATGTTCAGTTAAAGTTTGAAGTTTTGACTCAGCATCTTTTTTTTTTTTTTAAAGATTTTATTTATTTGACAGAGACACAGAGAGAGAGGGAACACAAGCAGGGGGAGTGGGAGAGGGAGAAGCAGGCTTCCCGCGGAGCAGGGAGCCCGACGCGGGGCTCGATCCCAGGACCCTGGGATCCTGACCTGAGCCGAAGGCAGACGCTCAACGACTGAGCCACCCAGGTGCCCCATTGACTCAGCATCTTGAGTAGAAGCACTCAACATCAATGTCAGCTGCTTCTCCTCCTGGTCAATTTGATTAGGAGGTCTCCCGGTCTGCACAGGACCCTACGGACCTGGGACAGTCCCTTTGAAAGCGTTCAAGGGCAGTTCTTGTTCTTAGCGATTCCAAATCAGAAGGGTGGGAGAAAATTAGAAACAGTTTGGGGAGTCATAGTCAGATATTTGAGGAAACCAGAAGAATTCAGGATTGAGGCCAGTTTACAGGTATGTCCCCAAACCTCAAAGACAATGAACAGGATCAGAATCTAATATCTATAAAAAGGTGCAAACATAATTTTTCTATCTATGGTCATCTTTTACCAAAGATAATCACAGTAAAACTAATTTATTTGCATTAAACTTGGCCTGATTATTTACATAAGTGTAGCAAGAATAGTAATTGACCAGGGCGCCTGGGTGGCTCAGTTGGTTAAGCAACTGCCTTCGGCTCAGGTCATGATCCCAGGGTCCTGGGATCGAGTCCCACATCGGGCTCCCGGCTCAGCAGGGAGCCTGCTTCTCCCTCTGACCCTCTCCTCTCTCACGCTGTTTCTCTCTCGCTTGCTCTCTAATAAATAAATAAATAAAATCTTTAAAAAAAAAAATAGTGATTGACCATATAAGCTCTTTTTCAGACAGATTTGCTGGAACTTTTTATAAGGAATCTCAAATTGAACTCTTAAAAGTCTGAGGCCAGGAAGCCAAGCCAAGGTTAAAGCAGTTCCTTAAAATCTTCTGGTCATATCTGAGCCTTGCATATCTCTCTCAAATATGGCATTCCAATCAAAGCTTTGGTAATGTAGCCAGTATCTCCAACTGTGTCCTGTTACAAGGAGAATAGATTCTTATGGAACTTCTGCACATAACTGATTACATTGCCATAAAAAGAAAACTCAAGAGTTTCTGTCGGGATCAGGTAGGTAGAGAAAACTAATGTTTCATCTTTGTTTACAAAGGTATGCCCTACCAAGTTGCTATAAGCCATAGTAAGAGAAAAGAGAACAAAGTTTTCTTAAATCTGGAAAAACAAAATGTTAAGGAACCAGCCACGTTTCAAACAAAAAGTCATAAAAATTATAATCATCCTCGTCGGTTCATTGGGTCCCACGTTATTAATTCTTGCTCTGCTTGAATCCAGTTTTTCCATTAGTTCTGGAAATTCTTACTCAGTTGAGTTTTATGACCTTAAAGTTATTTTATTTTTTTAATTAACATATAATGTATTATTTGTTTCAGGGGTACAGGTCTGTGATTCATCAGTCTTACACAATTCACAGCACTCACCATAGCACAT